AAATTTGGACCGGGAAGTCTAGGTAACCGAAAATGTAAGTTATTGTCATGGTTGGCAATTCTCCCTCTCGTATATGAACAGTGAGAGGTAGCTGGGTGAATACTGATTGGTATATCAGAGATCCTCATCTTAATACGGATCCCAGCGTGCCATCCATCATTTTATCCAGTTTCTAGCTCGCAAGGCAGCAACGATTCGACCACGTTATTACTTGCCAGTAAGATCTGGCAGCACATTCTACTGTTACCCTCCACAAGACGCACGCTGGTAATGTGTAAATCAGTTGTAAGGAAGATCTTGCCCAAATAAAGTACCTTTGTGTTTTAACATGCACGTAGGGTCAAGCTCCACTGTCGAAACGTGTACATCTGTATTCCAAACTCGTAGAACTTGCACGAAACATGTGGACAGCTCATGTATCTAAATCGTCGTCATCGTAAATAAGATCAGAGTAAAAGTTGAGGAAACAACAACCATCAGAGTCACTTAGAGTGCAACGTGACCTTTCCATTGAATGGAAATCCAGGCATATGAAATATACTGGAACACGTTGGGTTCAATTAGAACACAACATTGACCGGACCTCAGGAACACCGCCCACCTGTTGAGCCAAATCAGAACGAAACCGTTAGTGTACTTTTGAAGAGTGGTCTTATGAGTAGTTTCTTCAAAGCAGTCAAAATACTTTCGGACGAAATTGGATCGTTTACTTCACGCATAAAGTCATTGTCAAAATGGCTTTCTAGTTGATGTTTGCATAATCCTGACTCACATCCCGTTGCATAGCATTGCCACTCAAATCAAATAAACGTAGTTGTCCTCAAATGGTGGTTCCGCTTTAACAGTAAGATTCAATCCAAGCTTGACTGCACAAGACGAAGGAAGTTATGAATAAAAAAAGCCCTTACTGGCTTCTGAGTGTGTACGTTAAGATCGCTTTGCCGAAGGAAGCAAATTCTCTAAAGTCAAACCTATATTTTGCATCTTACTATTTTGCTTTTAAAAAAGTTCGTGTTAAGGGCAGCCCTGGCGGGGAGGGAGCGTCCCTTATCACCATCTATAGCATCCTCGCTGGCTGGCATCAGATACCGGTTAGCCTATAGGTAGTATGGTGATATAGTCGTATTTCAGTAGTATCTCAAAGCAGTTAAAGTCCTCGCTTTGCATCTAACTAATTAAACGGCATCCCCTCTAATATCGGAATGTGTGACTGTGTAACCTATTCGATTGTTTTAGCATGAAGGTTGTCGACAAATCCCAAGGGAAATAGCTCCTGAATGATAAACTTTACGTGCATTGTGATTGATAATTTTCGAGCTGAGGTTTTGCCTATTCACAGAGTAAGTCGGTTTTTTTAGAGGTAGATATTGATAGTCTGAGTGGCGTTCTCGCTTCGCCCACAGATGATAGCATCTTAAACTTCCGCGATTATCAGGGACTGCCTAGCGCTTTTTCTTACAGCAGGCGGATAGTAGAGGGCGGACAATGGATTACTTTGTAGTTCTATCGTTACTTTGAAAAAAAGACTTCTTCAGTGTGACTGACTGCCTGTTTCGGTGGAGATAACGTCTTAAACTGAAATCTATCATTCGATCAACTCATAATCCGTCCTTCTTGAAGTTGCAGCACTGGTACGATATTTTTAGCATGGCATTGAGTTAAGTAACAGAACAATCAATTCCCTTCATGAGGGAAAGGAGAATAACGAAAGTTTAGACTGCAGCTTTTGCTTCTTAAAATGTGTGGATATTTTGATTGCCAAAAATATACCATATATATCAAGTTTACTAGAACTATGAGAGCCTTGCACGTTCAGGGAGAATTAGACTATCTGTGAAGGGCTTCCAGATCCCCACAAATCTCGGAATGTTTCAAAGAAACAAATCTACTAGAATATTACTTTTGTGGCATAGACTTGTGTGAATGTGGTGGGACCACAAAGTTCAAGGAATAGAAGGAGTCAGTTTCAGCTCATCTAAAAGAATAGAAGCTAAAAGGCTTTCCGTAGGCAATTTAAAAAAATATAATATTTTAAAACCAAATTATATAAAACCCAACATCTAGACTGCCTGACAGAATACTTTTGGAGCTCTGCTCCTGTACTAAAGACTTTCATCTAACCCGCTCATTTTCAAACCTCCAACCGAGTCAGGGTGTACAATCAAAAGCTTCCTCGTGGAGTTCATCGCTGCTGTCCGCTATACCCTTTCT